TCTGCTAGGCTGCCTCTTCTCGTAGCCTCTCTTTTCACCTCTGAGCTTACTGCCTCTTATCACTGTCTCCTTTTAGGTTCGTTACAGCGCAGAACAAGTTGCTCGTATTTTCGTCGCTTTCCTTTTTGCTCAACTTGCGGTCCCTTTCGCATGCTTAGCTTCACATTCATGTGAATCACAAGATTAATATGATCATAGGATATACCTCCAACGGGATGAGAGTTACCTTAAGTCTTCAGTATTGTAGATGTCCATGGGCTCGACAATTTCCGATGGACAGGCTTCATGCTATAAACATGCACTCTCGCTTGCTTCAAATCTTGTACGGTTCTCACCACTAGTTCAACCATCTAGAAATCAAATAATTTTCACGAGAACATATCTTATCTGCAAAGCGAAGCCAATTGAATGCAATAACCTAAGACACAACAAATGGTCGTGGCCCGAAAGTGCACGATAATGGCGTTGGGGCCTTACAGAAGTGATTGGATGGCGGCTAATGTGAACTTATGGACGAAATACCTCACGCGCCTTAGCATATACGCCGTAGCGGATTAGATAATCGATAGGTAAATCAATATGGTAAATGCCATGTGGTTGATGCAGTATGTTTTCAAATAACACATCCGGCAGACGATCATATAGAGCGTTCTGCAATTGTGAGGTGTAACCGCTTACTGCGACTAGTATAATGTTACGAAGAGGAATCGAGACACTCAATGAATGATCAATCTATTGTATGTTCCTCTGAGAAGCATGTGAGTGGACTTTCTACATTGAGAGGGTTTTAGCGGCTTCCGAATGTGCGAGTTTGACGAATGTGTGCTTCAGAATCAGTAATGTTCACTACTGAAGCGAACTAAATAGACAGCCTACTGGCCTCCGTGATCGCAGCTGTCGTACTTCTTCGTGATTCTGAGGGAAAGAGTCATTCATGCATTGCTCATCTCTCAAAGAGGAGGTCATATTTAGGGTTTGTTTGGAGGGGATCGTATTTTTGGCCGCCTTTAGACTGTCGGCCCCGGCCGGCCCCCCCCGCCCTTACTTCACCTCCCCCAACTAGGTGAAAAGGTAAAAAAGGGGGTGAAAGTCGAATGTGTTGTGGTGGCGGGAGGGAGGAGGGGGTCATTTTGGCGAGTTCTGTGACGATTTCGAGTTAAACTTCGTGGAGTAAGCAAAGTTATAGCAAAAAGTAGAAAATATTGGAGGATTCTTCGCTTCATTCCTTTCCCCACTTGACGATGCCGATGCTGGTGGTACTCAAGATCAGGATTAACTGTCCATTGAGCAAAGATCAGCATTCGGCCAGCAGCAAGGTTGCTAAGTCAAGGACAAGTCAAGGATCCTTGGCAAATCAAATGGCAAAGGAGTACCATTTCAATTTACCCTGCGACCGCAAACCTCTGGCGGGTAGATGGCGCATGGGGCAGCGATCTCTGACATAGTTATGTTAGCTTCGATCGTGCAAATATCAATGGCTCGTTTCAGGACGATGCCCCAAAGAAGCATAGAGGAGAAAATTGGAACAATAGGACTACTTTAAAAAAATGACATCTCAAAAAAATTCTGTACTATTATATTTTGAAAGCTCTGGTCTTGCAAGGTCTAATAAGCTTCGAAGATCTGCAAGAAGATAACCATGAAGGAAGTTCCCCATGAGCATTCGAAAGTCGAAAATTCACACGTTCTCAAAAATCGGAACACAGCCCCGAGAAAATGGGATTATTTCTCCGGAGGAAGAATCTTTCGGAAAGGCTTAAGACGTTTCGAGAGCTCACAACCGTTCTTCTAACCTGCTTTAAAAATCTGCAAAAAAAGTTGATTATAAAAGAACTTTATGAACGTCTGAATGTTGAGTACTCGCTTGCACAAAACGAAACAACGCCACGTTTTTTGGAGGAAATGAACATTTGCAAAAATTTGAATCCTTTTTTTTTTGATGGAACACTTTACAGTTTTGAAATTTTCATATCCCATTTTTTGAGAGCGCAACTGAGAAACGTATACACTTTGAATGAAAAGGTCGCGCCAGTTGAGCTGCTACTCTAGCCACGGGATGATTGGAGTGTGGATTATCTTCAAATAAAAAAAAGTCAACGCTGAGCAGAGTGAAGCGCCGTGCACCGTGAATTGAGAGAGCGTGCCCTCGCCCATCTTCTGGCTAATCCTTGGTGTAGCATGACTTGCGGAACATTCCAAGCAGTACTCGTAAAAATTAAGGGCACGAAGAGCTTTTCGCGAAATCGGTGTAATATCCATAACAAGTAGCGAGACAACGAGCTGGACGGTTGGCTGAAATTGCAAAGGTGGATGCTACGTCAACAAACATGTTGCGGATTTTTCGGAGTTCTCACAAAAATTCTCTAGCATTAAATGTAATTTGTTGCAAGACTTATGGACCAACCTAATATATAGTAGGGAGCAGGGTGAAAATCGTGTCGAGGAAATAACCGCCTCTTTACGACCCCCCTCCAAAACATGGACTCTGATACGACCCCTTTTTGTCCTCTGCACATCCGGTTTCATATCAAAAAATGCTAGTTTCAGATGTGCGAGAGGGACGCAGCGCCGCTGCCACGCAAATGCGGCTTGATCCAAATGCTAGATTCAATTCTGCTCAGATTAGGTTCTCCTTCTTTCCTTTAAAGACATTTAACCTTTGCCACATTGGCCGGAAAGTAGAACATTGAAGGAGGTACTGCCCCTACACAGTTGAGTCTCGCGCTCCAGTATAGCGGCGCTAACTACCCGCGATCGCGTCGCGCGCTGTGCCTAGAGCGCGCTAGTTGGAAAAATCGTCAAATGTACCCCCTATTTAAAGGACTATAACTTTCTTCATTGATAACCATTTCAGAAAGTGAAGGCAGCTTTTGAATGCACAAGACTTCTAGTTTCTAAATTGTGCTGAGCGTTTTTCTAAGCACGCCTATTCTCGAGAGTGGGAGACGTCGAGGAATTGTCGAGGAAATTGAAATTTACATGCGAGTTCCCACTCTTTGGAAGACAGTAGCTGTCTTCATTGGCAATGCTTTGAAAATCGGAGGAAAGCGTTGTAAAGTAGAAGATTTACGCTTTCTGATAGGTGCTCCAGTTGTTTCGATCGCTCAGATATTTCCAGTATTAACTAATTAGGATAACTTTGTGGTCATAGTGATGTCTGATCACTCCTTTATTCAAATCGCTTCCTTTCCAACCCGTTCTGATGAATGACAGCTTGCGGGCAGGATCTGATAATGCCAAGAAGGCTGCGAATCTGCCTGTTTTGAACTTTCTACCAAGATGCTGTTCCTCCACTAAGTTCTCGAAGCATGTGCATCATTCTAGAGTAGATACTCGCCCTTTCCCTACGATTCTTTTGCAGGACGCGTTGCCTTCCTATGCCATACTGATCACTACGAACCAAACCAACAACCACTTTCCATTTGAATTTTAATTCCAGACAGTTGTAAGATATTATTTGCATTAGGCTAACTACAACACTTGTGAAAGTAATGATGACAGCAAATAAGTGGCAGCAGCACCGTTGTGTCCGTTGATGAACCCTTTTGATTACGACCCCCTCCCAACTCTCATCGGAGCAAATACGACCCCCTGTCGAGGATTTCCTCGACCGTTATTCACCCTGGTTGCGGAGAGCATAAGTTTTTGGTTGAAGCGGTCTCTTTCGAAATGCCTACACATTTGCAAGAAGCTCAGGTGCCAAAAAGCTTATTTGAGTTGTACCTTAAAAGATGGTGTTTGTTCTTACCGCTTCAGTTTTATGTTTTAAAACTGACATTCTGGTGGTTGGCGCGGGGGTTAATGTAGTGGCAATCAGCACTTTTCACATTACTAATACCATTACTTTTACGAATGAGAATGGGATGAATGGCGCACGACAGGAAAGGGACGACATTATTTATGGTGATAGCTGAGCTAGTAGAAAATAAAGAAAAGCTAGTAATAAGATAACTTTAACAACGAACATTCTTCCATGCTTCTCCAAGAGCAGCAGATGAAGCATCCAGTAGGAAGACGATTGACTTTGTAGTAGAAGCGCTCTAAAACTCGAAGACACAGTTTCTGTCTTTTGACCACTTGTTGTGACTGCCTTTTATGTGTTAGTTTTCCTTTGAAAAACTGCTTCCATCGCTCCTAATTATGGCCCTTCATTTTAGTTCTTACTACCTATCTTTTCACATTGGCTAGCGCTTACGACACCCCACCATATTAAATGATTCCACAGTGTAGGTATGAGTGCAACTAAATGTCCACAGGGGTGAGGCCGATTCAGGACATTCCTTTTCGCCCAAAAACGAGAAGAGAGCCTCAAAGAGTTCTTTTTCTCTCAGTAAAATAATAGTTAGCAAGATGCTGAGGATGATCTTACACTCATCTGGGGGTGACGGGATATGAACTGTTGATACGCGCCAAGTTTGCTCCTTCTGTTGTGGTTGTCGCCTCAAGCTCAGGCATTTCCGCAGTCGTTGAGAGTTCACGCACTCCAGCACGTTCCGTCTCTGCCTGGGATTCAGTGGTTCTCTCCGCTGCTGCAGGCGTCGTTCCATACTTTGTAGCAGAAGCGCTCTAAAACTCGAGACACATTTTCTGTCTTTTAACCATTGTTGTGACAGCTTTTTATGGTGTTGGTTTTCTTTGAGAAACTGCTTCGGTCCACTCCATAATAATGGCCTCATTTTAGTTCTTTCTATATTCTTTCTACATTGCTAGCGCTTACGACACCCCACCATATTAAATGATTCCACAGTGTAGGTATGAGTGCAACTAAATGTCCACAGGGGTGAGGCCGATTCAGGACATTCCTTTTCGCCCAAAAACAAGAAGGGGGAGAGCCCAAAGAGACCCCTTTCTTTAAGTGAATCATGTAATAAAATAATGGTAGCAAGATGCTGAGGATGATCTTACACTATCTGGGGGTGACGGGATATGAACTGTTGATTTTTTTTTTTTTTTTTTTTTTTATAACGCGCCAGTTTGGCTCCTTCGTTGTGGTTGTCGCCTCAGCTCAGACATTTCCGCAGTCGTTGAGAGTTCACGCACTCCAGCACGCTCCGTCTCTGCCTGGGAAACAGTGGTTCTCTCCGCTGCTCCAGGCGTCGTTCCATGCTTTTCCTTTGTAGTTTCCCACGCCTCGGTTGTGGTAGCTGGTGTCCCATTGAGCCGCTGAACCAACCAGTCCTTGCTTTCTCCAAACGGGCAGGATCCTGCTTTGTCTGAATACTAACAGGTGAACTCTGGACTTGAGAGAACAAGAAATATGCTCACCGTGAGATTTTGCGGGTCTGCTACGTTGTTGGGGTCGTGCGCGATTTCGTCCAAATTAGATCGATTCACTGGTGTTCCGATGGGGACGTAAATAATATCCGTGTCATTATTGTGCAACTGCAAAAAGAATGTTTCGAAAAAAAAACACGAGAGAATGAGAGCTCAAATCAAAACTCAGCAGTCTACAAACAAAGGCTTGCGATCGTTGAAAGATTGTGCATAAATTACCTTATTTGCAATGGCGCGTTCATCCCCATATCTAGTTTCGGGTATGTCGCAGGTTGAAGTTTGGCCATTTGAGAACACGACAACGCTCTTATCTTTAGTAGTCTCTGCCTGAACACAACTTTTGTGACTCAGTCGGAAGGATAAGTGTGGCATAGAGGAAGTAGAGTTCCATGATTGTGTTCCATAAACAAGCACGGCTAATTGTCCATTTGTTTTTTTTTTTTTTGCTTTTTTTTGTCCTTTGCATGCGGTTACTCTATGTTCCTATACCAGATGATTTTTTTGGTTTGTGGATTTTAATTTCGCACTGTACTTACATCCAGTAGCTTTTTAGCTAGGCTGTATGCTTCCGATGTAGCGATCATTTCCCCAGCAGGGTTATACGCCATCAGCTCTTCCCTGGAAAACATGTTATCCCTCATGAAAACAGTGATTCTGGATAGTACCGGACTTCGAAAAACATAAAAAATTATCGAGGAACAAGACCAACACAAATGCAGCGTAATATATGCTTCGTAAATGGTGCGGTGGGACAACACATGCGCTTTGCAAGAAAATAACCATAGCTGTTGAAGGCTCCAAAACTGCTTCAAATTTTAATGAGCGGTATTTGCACATGTCCTATACGGCAGAGCCTCATGTGAATGTGACGGGAATCTCATGTGCACGAAAAATGGTGATCGGATTTGACATGAGATATTGAATTGGTGGTTCGGATTCTGGGACATGTGATACAGTACCGTGCAGTGAAGTATTCGTTTTCACTTTTTTAAACGTAATTTCCTCAAAACTCAAGCTTTCGCAGTAAAACTTCGACAGCAGTGACACACACAGGTAGTAATATTATAGCAGTGTATCGGTGCAGCCTCCTTTCAAGGGGAAATGGAGCTTCATTTTCGAGTATTGTCCGCGGGCACCCAATTTCATTGTTGATAAACGATGAGTTTTCATGTTGAGAGCAGTTTTCATGTTGAGAGCGCGTGTGTTTTTGATGTTTTGTGTCAGTTTCATATTCCTACACAGTACAGAACAATCCAAGACATTTGGGGAATCTTAGCTTGTGGCAGGACCAGGAACATCCAGCAAATTTTCGAAGTTCAAGAAGCGCCAGTGGACGACTTGGAAGAAATTCAAGAGCATCGAACCTGCCAAAGTCAAAAAGTGCCTAGAAGGAGCAGCAAGAATGACCTCTCCTCTCGCCAACAGAATCATTGTGCGACTTGTGAAGAGGGCTACATCCCGACATTCAACATTCTCAACCCAGACGGTCCAAATCCGTCCGAAGACAACGTGCGACGTTGTCTGAGAGATGCTGGGCACTTCTGACGTAGCTCAGTAAGAAACCGCTGATTCCCCTCAAGAGTGGCAGAGCGCATCTCAATTAGGCTCATGCCCACAAGAAACGGACTATTAAGGAGTGACAAAAAGCCATCTAGAGCAACGAATCGAAGTTTTTGCTGTTTAGGACCGAATGAAGTCAAGTTTGTGCGACTTCCTGTTGTTCAGTATTCCGAAAGGTTCCATGTGCTGACGTGACAGATTATTGCAGAGGGTGCGGTGATACTGCATGGCAGCTTCCGTGGCATAGGGCTTGAACCTCCACCGGAATGATTCCAAAGCGTACCTCAACATATGGATGACTGCCGTATGTTCGCAGTGTCGCCCGTAGTGTTTCATTTTCCGACCCCAAGCGCAAAATCAAAGCCGCTCTCGCAATGGTTCCGCAACAACAATGTTCCTCCACTGCCATGCCATCGCAGTCCCCATACTTGAATCAGAGCAAAAATCTGTAGGATGATTTTCGGAGTCAAGCTGAAGGCCCAAAAGCTCACAACGAGTTCGAAAAGTCCGTCCCACTGAAGATCGCGTAGGGGAACCTCCACCAAGAAAAAACCCAATTCCGTGCTTCGCCGGTGTCAAGCCGTCATAGATGAAAACGGTTCTGCGACAAAGTGCTGATGTTGTAGTTGTTCAGTCTGTTATTATACAAGTTATTTTGTTATTATTTTTGAATTTTAGATAGATTGAAGTTCGAACAAGTAATATGGTATTGGACCAAAAAAAATTAAAAAATTTCTAAATTAGTATAGAAGCCACCTAGACAACTGAAGATTTGCTCCCTTATCAGGTAGAGTGATGTGTTCTCACCTACAAAAATCGGAACAAAAGCTTGAGTTTTGAGGGAGTTACGTTTAAAAAAGTGAAAACGAATACTTCACTGCACGGTACTGTATGTAGAGGGCTGGTAATGCATGGGCCATACGTTTGATTCACCAGAGAAAAGTCGATCAGGGCAGCGATTGGATTACGCTGTAGCTGAGCCCTTGAATAAAATCACCGTTGTAGCTAATGCATAAAAAATGAAATTGGGAGAGGGCGGGAGCAACGTGTCCAATTTTGAAATGTTCACAGTGCTGCGCATGTACGCGTCATAAACGGAGGCGGCCGATCCAAAGATGGAATTACAGCTTTCCCGTTTGTGCAGTGCATTTTCATATTGGAAATGATAGTTGCTATGACAATTTATTAAGCTCTAATTCAAGTCAGAATGTGCAAATCTGGGGTAGAATAAGGAACTGACAGGTAGTTTAAGACGCCCTAGGCTTGTCACCTGCTACCTGAAGAGTCTTATAAATCCGTGCACGCCCACCACTGCGGCATTTCATCTGATTATTCGCTGATCTGCTAGGCTGCCTCTTCTCGTAGCCTCTCTTTTCACCTCTGAGCTTACTGCCTCTTATCACTCTGTCTCCTTTCAGGTTC